CCCCCCCCCCCCCCCCCCCCCCCCCCCTTCACGCCTCGAGGTCCTCGGTACAACAGCAAGTCTTGACCACGGCGCTATGAAGGTGTTGATTTCACGATGACGACGCCGCTCTCTTTTGTTGTATCTTGAAACAAGGCGTGGCCTCCCCCCCCTCCCTCACACAAGCACTGACGGGCAACACCTGGAAACGACAGGTGTGCAAGTGCATGAACGAGGTGTTGATGAACGACGAGGACATGGCTCTCATGTACCTGACCGACAACGAGTGCAAGTCGACCGCCAGAGACTTGCACCAGCACCAGGAGATCGAGATGCTCTTCGAGAACTACCTACTGCAGGTGACCCTCGCCCCCGTGTCTCTAGCGCCTTACCCCAGCTGTAGGCAACACGAGGAGATTGATACGCTATTCGAGGAACTTGCTTTTGCAGAGGCAGGACCACGAGATAGATTTATTCCACACCGAAGTAAGCACCGGTATTTTGTGCTTTGGATACACGTTGACCCTGGCCGCAGCCCTGGTGTTGACGCTGAGATGCTCGTCGGAGTCTCCTCTTGCATGCAGCGGGCCATCCAAAGCCTACCATGACCACCTTTAGGTGGTAGACACATGGAGTGCAAGGGGCGGCTCGTGTTATTTATTCTATTATAATTACCTTGTGGGCGGTTAGCTAGCCCTTGGGTGTGGGACTCATCTTATTGGGTGGGTCTTTACGGAATACCGGTATGGAGACAGCCGGTAGAGGTTAGAGCGATTCCAGGTACAACCACAACGGGGCCAACCACAGCGAAAGCGATCACCTCAGAGTAGCTAAGTAGCAGCTGGGAATGACTCATTCGGGTGAGGGGTGCAAATGGTGTGTCGGACGGGTGTGATTATTTGTTCAAGCTTTGAGGCACGGCAAGTACAGGTGGCGAAGTTAGTTTTCCTGCCGGCTTCATTGGTTCCAAAGCGTCGGTGCTTTTGTGTCGAATTTTTCCTCTTTGGTCGACAACGCAGGTGGAGCTGTTGGCATCAGACGTCAATGAACTTCAAAACGAAGTTCGTAACACGGAAGGTGAGCCGAATCGTTTTTTGTCCGAAACATTCCTTGAGTACCGCCGGGGCCAGCAGATTAACGTAAATGCGGAGACCACCTTCGTAAGGTACAATCTCCCCAACGTCTGTCGAGGACGATTGTTTCTTTTCACATAAATGGTTTTTGGAATGTGTCTTTGCCGGATGATGGATGCTACAGGCGCTTGCACGGCCAAAGCTGACTCGGGGGGTACGCTTGTTTCCACGGCGTCATTTGATTTCCGTTGGACGCTTGACGGAAATCCCGCATGCCTTTTTCTCGAGGAACTGGTGGTGATGGTGCGAACAATGATGTGGTGTGGTAGGCTGCGAAGGTGACCGCGGGTCCATGGGGACTCGGGGTAGCGTGTGTGACGGTTGTAACCCCGAAACTATTGTCAACGTCGTCAAAGTCAATATAGCAAGAATGGCATGTGGGAGTTTTTTTGTCTCCTTCTCGTTGCCAAGGCATGCGAGCGTCTCGCTTCCTTGCCGGGGTGTTCGTTACCAAACAGATCACGTCTCCCAGTAGCGGATTTGGACTTATCTCCAAGGCCTCAAAACCCGAACACTGAACTTGGTTGCTGGCATGTCAGATGGGAAAACAGCCCGCTAGGGTCAGGCTACGGTAGAAACTGATTGAGCCGACCTGAAGAGCGCTTCTTCTTGCAATCGGCGAACCCTCATATCACTTTGCTCATCACAGGAAAATAGTGCTTTTTTGAAATTGGCCCTGCAGCAGATCGGTTTTGGACGGTTTCGCAGCGAAACCAACCCGGGATTGTGTGTGAGTGAGCATTCGTACGTACGTACAATCCTACAAGTCGTTGCGAAAGCACACGGTGTGCGCTGGCAAGCAGTGCACCTATTAAGGCCCTGGTGCCGGCGTCTCATGATGCCCTTATACCTCCGCACCCGAACCGTTCATGTCCATTCGCGGCAGAAATCGTGGAGATCGAGCTGGACGTGTTGCGAAACAACATCCTTCGCTTCGAGCTGCTCCTCAGCATCAGCGGCTTTACCGTTGCCCTCGGGGCCCTCGTCACCGGTGAGCTAGTTTTCTTTTGTTGTTGGGGTTAATTCAAGAATCGGGTCTTGCTCGTCAAAGGTTTTGAAGTCGCTGAACCGCCGAGTGGACAATGGCCTGTTCTAAGAACGACCTTCCAACAAGGCGTTATGGCGGTCGATGTCGTGCCATGGCTCGCTTCCGTAAGTTCTTGCTGCCGGAGAGATTGTTTGGTTTCTGTGCGTATTTTTCCAATGTTAGCTTCGTGCATGGTGCCATCTGCTGGACCGGCTCTACATAACCAACTACATCAACAACAGCAATAACAGCAGCAACAACAACAACAACAATAGCAACAACAACAACAACCGTGTCTTGTCGCAGGTGTGTTTGGCATGAACCTCCTTAGCGGGTGGGAAGAGAAGCCGCAAGCGTTCTGGCAGGTGACCGGCGGCATCTACGGCTGCATCTTGCTGTTCATTGCCGGCACCGTGACCTTGTGTCGGCGCTTGAGCCTCTTGTAGGAACATTTTTACCTGTAGCGGTCAACTGTGTATGACTGTTCATCTGTTACCATATACGTTTTCTTACCATCAGACTGGTATGACCATAGCCCGAGTAAGGCCGTCACGACAGCCTGACGCCAGGCGCGGTGAGTCGTCATCAGAGATCGATTTTTCACACCGCCGGCTGAAACGACGGCACCTGCCGAGGCGTCACATTCGCGCTGTATATCCATCCGTATCCATTCACTCCCGGCTCCGCTGGAAGGGCACTGAACCGACGTCGTGGGGTCTCCTGCCCAACTTGCTGGGGTTGCTCTCTTTGTCGTTGTCGTGTCATCCACACTGCTGTGCGTGCGGTCTATGCGGTCTCTTGTTGCTGTCTGCGGCGGCAGCTGTACATGTTTTTGCCTTCGCACCCAGAGCCGTTTCGGGAAAGGAACGAGCTGCTTTTGAACAACGCCTGTAGCCCGTGTATCTATTTAACTGTTTGTGTTAATACCCACTAGTCTAAATGGGCAAGAGATAACTATTTCTTCTGCTGGAAAACAACAGAAAAACCTTGAGGTCGTCACGAACCCTCGAGATTAGTTTGGGACGAGTCACCGAGTAGAGTGGGTCGACAGCTCCGCTGTATTGAGGGCGTGTATGTACGCTCGCTGAGAGAGCATTTGTTGCCATCAGAGGCTAAAATATATATCCCCAGGCCGTAAAAACGTGACAAATGTCACCCTCTTGTATTTTTTTGCTTCGAAGATTGTGTAGTACTTTCACGTGCCCAGGCCATACGCTACGTGGAAAGAGTCATTTGGTGCAGGATTTTGTCCACGATACGCTGAAGAGCAGCAGACAGACGAGGAGCGCTCACGCGTGAAGCGTGGAGATGAATGCGGTGGACCATGGACGTGGGCATCTCTTTCGTACATAAACCGTCCGGTGTTTGTTTGGTGTTGTGCTCTCATTCTGGTCTGTTGCAATCAATCGTGTGCGAAGTCGAAGACTTGGTGACGAGACCCCGACAACACAGACAAGACAGACAGGTAGGTCAAGAGGCCACGCTCCGTCCATATCCTGAACGGTGTACGTTGGGATGGTGTCGCGGTGTTCCGGTCTCTGAGGAAAAGGGTGGCAGGGGCACCCCTTGCCCATCGCTCAGCCAGGTGGGAACAAACAGCCCCTCTCACAATTTTCGGGGCAGGGGTTTCGTATTATGGGTTCTTCTCCCGAATTTGTTTCCGCATGCATGAATTTTCCTTGCGAGCCCTCGCGACCTATGTGAATTACGGTGTTTCGGTTCCTATTTCCTCCCTCGCTTCGCCCTGCACTCATGACACGCCACATCCATCCGCTGTTGCAAGCCCTCGCGTCGCCCGCGAAGGCACCGGCCGGGCATGTTCTACCCATATTTCTTTCTACAACACCCGCAAAGAACACTCACGCCAAAACATTCCTTCGCGGTTCGGAAAATTGGACTACGAGACGTTATCATACATCGCTGTAGTCCTGAAAATGGCTTTCGTTCGAGGGGGGTCCCTACTCTCCTCTCTCCTCGAAAATCTTCGGCGCTTTCAAGACTTGACCCAAATGCTGTTAGCGCTACTGCTTTTGACTCACGATTATTATTGCACACGTGCCCTGGCGTCACACAGCAGTAGGTAGCAAATTCCCTACAGCCGTGCGGAAATCCGACAGAGGGATGATACCGTCGCCCCCTTTCCCGGAAAACAGGCGTGATCGCAACGGGTCCCCGTCGACCGAAATCTTCAAAACGAGACCCCCTCCTCCCCCCTTGTCCTGGCCGCGTCCTCCACGGGGCTCCCTCCCCGGCCCCGACCCGCCTCCTGTACTGCAAACCTCGAACGCTATCGTGGAGCCGTAGGGCGGCCAGTAGTCTCGATCTTCCTACAAAAGAAATCGAGCGAACGGGCGGTTAAAGTATACTACGTGCATCGATGCGAGCGTTACAACGAGAAATGTTACGAGTAGCTATTTGAGGGTGTGTCTGGTTGCTACCGTGGCCAAAATCGCGGAGCTAGAATCGGTTAGCCGATGAACACGGTCGATGATAACGAAAGCAACACACATAAACACGGAAACAAGTGGTTCATGTAGCAGATAAACGTTCGAGAACGCCTCGCTTCACTTACGAGGAGATCCGCCTCCATTGCGTAAAGGAGGGCCAGGATTGTGACGTCATGGCAGCTGGAGGATACCACACGCGACAATGACCCGCCACCCCCATCGGTCCCCGGAACGTTCCTAGAACCTGTTACCGGACCGGCAATATCGCTCCCTGCCGCGCACTCAATGATGTGCGCGAGCAAAGGACTACGTCGAGGCGAGTAGAAAGGAGGGTGTCATCGACAGTTCTGTCAACCTTGGGAGTATCACACTTGCAGCAGCGGTGTACGCGGGACGTGACTATTTTCATGAATGGTTCTTGACCCTGACGGACATCACACGCATGGGAGGGAAGTGGTTCGTCCGACGGCATCTATCTGCTATCGAGCGTAATGGGTCTCTGCTGTGTATCGCGAATACGCAACGTTTGCGATTACCAGTCCTGGACGCACATGGCCCTGACCAAGCAACCAACGCCTTACGCAAGCCGCCCCGGCATCCCTCCGGCAAACAAACGATCGGAGCATCCGAGCCAAAAACGTTGCCATACCGACGAAGCCATCATTGAACACATTTCTCGGCAGTTCATGTCACAAAAAGAAAAAAACAAAACGACAGGCAAACGCATGTCTTCTTTCCTCACCCGACCATGGTCCGCATCATCTCGTCGTCCCCGTAAAATCGGCTGAAGCGCCAGACGAGATGCCTTATCGTGGCCGTTCCGAGGACATCCAGCTCAGGGGTGACGCGCAGTCCACGAGCGCGGGCGCTCATAAAGTAATCCGCAGCCATCATCCAACTTTCAGGCAAGCAGAGGATAATGGGGAGTGGAGAGGGAGCACGAGGAATGCACTTGTTGGGTTCTTGCTTGGGTTAAGTCGTTTGGTCGTTGACCACATCCATAGCTAGAAGCATCTCGCCCTACCTAGATGAGACACAATGTGTGTTTGACAACCTGCGTTGCAAAATCCCCTCTCCCTTTGTGTTTCGATTGCTGACATCAGTTGTTCCTAGGGTATCGATCGAGATCAGGGATCGGGGGGGTGGAAGACATGAAAGGTAAGACGGGAACTCATGGGGCGGGTATAAACACGCCCATTCCCCAATCTCCCGCTCCACGTCCTCTAATTCATACCTTGCCCGACCGTTCCCCTCACCCGTCACCTCTTCTTTTCTCCGTCCCCCCCATCGGGGTTGGGTTTTCGTCGCTTGGCAACGACGTTGTAAAACAAGCCAATTCACTTCGTGAACTCGGCAACCAGGTTACCGTTTATTTTTTTTTCACCTCCGTTTTTCTTGTTGCCGGTAACCATAATGGTGGTCGAGTAGATCATGTTGTGTGGGGTCGAGAA